CAAATTTCTTTCAAGTCAGCTGTCACAATAAGTTAACTACGTAGATGGAAGTTAGATTCCCAAACTATATGACAGAATAAATCCTGTTCTAAACTTCTACAACTAATGATCAAAAAAGTAATTGAAATTTAATAAATATACTTTAGTGCACATGAAGATGATTATTCTCATATACTTTTCATGTATTGGATTTTGCTTACTTTTTATATATTTAATCACAAGTAGTTTTGGAGGATTTTCATACAGTGTAAAAAATGAGATAAATGATGAAGAAGATAAAGTAGAGATAATGAAAAGTGATATTTTAGAAAGAGTAAAAAAGAGAAAAGAAGGATGCATAAGAAAAAATAAACATTGAAATACTCATCACAGAAATGTGGCATCTATTTTGATTTAAAAATTGTGGGTTTAAATGATTTAAATTATATAATTATAATTTAATATATGGATACATCGTTTTCCTCCATCTATTTTTACCTCCATCATGTACTGTTATGGTTTATATCTAGACATCCCCTCAAACATTGTGCACTCATAAGTGAGGCTTCTCAGAGATGGCTGGACCTAGGGTATGTGAATGCAAATTAAGAGTATGATACAAGAATTAAAAGTCAGTGGCTCTAGATTCATCCACTAATTGGTTCATAATAGTTCGAGGTGTGGGTAATGGGAGGACCCACCCTGGGTGTGTGGCACCACTCAAAAAGCATGTATCCTGTAAAGGATAAAAGGGAAAGGGGAACTTGCTGCTGCTCTGCTGTTGCTACCTTCTGCCTGCTCTGCGACGGACTGTTTCTTCTCTGCCATTCCCCCCTCGCATGCCATCCAGCCTTGAAACCAACCGATTATGGACTGAAACACTTACAAACTAAGCTAAAATATCCCTTTTCTCTTTTTATCTCAGAGATTTTGGGTATTTATTCCCAGCCTCAAAAAAGTAACTGAGATATGTACCAATTAATTTTTTTTTAAATAAAAGAGTGGATGTTTTAAAATTTCTGTTCTTTATGCCTATGTAGGGAACATCTCCAGTACTGACAATTTTTAAAGTGATATACATACAATCAAAATTTTAAAACTTTCAAAAGAATAGCAAAAAAGGAAGACTTCATATTGTTTATAAAACCAGTATATTTTGTGATTTTTATGAGATCAATGTACTTATGAGACATGGTTTACTACCCAAATCAGTAGAGATGTTAAATTGATGAATGCAATTCAATAATGGATT